TTATTTACAGGTATAATGACTCATTCATTGATAACAAAGAAATAGTGATAGGATTGCTTTATGGTGACAGTATAATTGCTGTAATTGCTTCATGGTAGCCTATCCTCTAATAAATGAATTATAAAACCTTTATATGGCATACAGTATTACAGCAATATTCATAATACTGTATTAGAAACATTGTTATATTAAAAAAAAATAAAAAACACTTACTTTGCCAAGAATTAGGAGAAGTGCAAGTTGTAGCGCTCCAAAATCTTACAACTACAGACTATCTACTGTTAAAAGAACATATGGGATGTGAACAGTTCCCAGGAATGGGTTTTAATTTGTCTGATTTCTCTCAGACTGTTCAAGTACAGTTGGACAATATCCATCATATCATAGACAAATTTTCACAAATTCCTACGGTGCCTAACTGGTTTTCTTGGCTTCACTGAAGATGGCTGGTAATTATAGATCTGCTTTGGTTATGTAACTGTATTCCTATTATGTTAATGTGTGTGTGCAATTTAATTAGTAGTTTAAAACCTATACATGCTTAAGTTACTCTACAAGAAGATATGTCAAACAAATAATCAATCTTCCCATGTTTTCTTCCGTCTGCTACCTCTATACTTTTCTTCTTCCTTCCTAATTACAACCCTTAAATAGAATTCGTGCCTCATATCGAATTTACCGAGTATCATAATTCCTCCAAGTGGTAAAGATACCTCAAGACAAATGTTGGGCATAGAAGCCACAGGGCATAAATCTGCAAAGGAGTAAAAAGCTAACCTTTTCAAACAATATGGCTTCTCTCTCACTTACCAACTTTACATCTCCCTGTATGGCCCCGGAAGATGACTGGTTAGCCAGAGACAGGTAAGATTCCTCAAGGGAGGAACAACCTAAGACAGGCACAGTCGCAGGGGGGCCATCAGGTGAGAATTTGGGGATCAACAGAGGTGAGGCTCAGAACCTCACCCCCCCTGCTTTGAGAGAAATCTTCTGCATCCGTGGATGTCTTGCTGCCCTTGTCTAGCCTGGATTAATACTTAGTCCATAGGCACACACCTGATCATCTGATCATCTACATTTGCCTTCTTACAGCACTAAACTATGTTTTCTACCTTTATCTTGCATCTACCTACCACTTCAGCATTTTATTAAAAATAAAAATAATAATAATAATANACTGTTCACCATGTAAGAACTTATTCACTATGTAAGAATTTGTTCACCATGTAAGAACTTGTTCGTTATGCTTCAGAAGATTGGAGACTGACGAGAATTAGGCTTGAGATGGATTAATGATTGTGCATTGAGCATTGAGTCCCCTATACAGAATTTTATTGTTGTTAACAACCATTTGATCAATAAATATGAGATGCCCTCTCAAAAAAAAAAACACTTACTTTGATAATAGGCTAATACACGGTTTCTCCAATTACCAGAGAGAGAGGCACATACTGTAAGATGATGTAATTCTTTTAAAGCAGAGTTAGAAAATTGTAACAAAACTAACATTATTAATTTTATATTAAATATCACATGCCTTGTAAGGATAGGCTATTCACTTCCACACCAGTCTTGTATGCAACATTCTACACTGAATACTGGGTGATGATGACACAAAAATGTCTCATACAGTTCTTGCTGTACATTACTAGATTTTCACATGAAGACATACACAGGTAAGATTATTAACTGTATGGCATGATGATTATATATTATTCATTAAGTGGATCATCATAAAGTTCATCCTAGTCTTCACAGTGAATAAGCTGAGGAAAAGGGAGGGTTCTTCTCGCTGCTTGGGTGACAGGCAGAAGAGGTGGAAGAGGAGGCACATTTAGTGTAACAACAAAAATACATCTTAATTTCTGTCTGGCTTTTTTGCTTTTTCATTTCTCTCAAAATATTTCTCTATTGTACTAATCTTCCTTCCACTCTTTGCTTTAGTACCAGTTCCTATGTCATACAAGACAATCATCCATGTCGTAAAAGAAGTCAAAAGCAGTCTTGAATAATTTGAATCCTTCTGGCAGTTTGTTTTCTGTCACTGTGTTTTCTACGTTGTCTTCCTCATTGCCTAGCACTGGTTTGGAGGCCCTCATCTCTATTAAGTCTTCTGTTGGCTCTTGAATTTCTCTAAAATCCATATTTTGAAGTCCTTCATTCACCCCTTTACATATTTTGCCAGTCTACAGTCTCTTTCATGATTTTCTTGATTGGCTCTGTTGTAAATCCTGTGAAGTCATGGACAACAACCAGACAACAGTTTTCTCCAGCAAGAATTTATTGTTTCAGGCTTGATGGCTTTCACAGCTTTTTATGTAACAATGATGGCATTTTCAATGGTATAATCCTTCCAGACTTGCATAATGCTCTCTCTCTTGGGGTTCTCTTCCATAGCATTGACAGTCCTTTCCAGAGTGCTGTATGTAATGAGCCTGAAAGATGTTTATGAGCCCTCATCTAGAGGTTGAGCTAGAGACGTTGTGTTTGGGGGGCAAGTACAGAACTTCAACAACCTCACGGTTGAACTGGCCGGTGGAAATGGCCAATATCAAAAGAACTTTTTAAATGGCAGTCCCTGTACTTTCAGACTTCAGGGACAAAGTATCAAAGGAACCAATATAGGAAAAGGGTTCTTACTATACAACCTCTTACTGTATAACCAAAAGACTGTCAGCTGGTGTTTATCTTTTCCCTTCAAGGTTTTGGGTTTAGCAGCTTTATAAATAAGGACAGTCCTGATCAGAAGCCCAACTGTATTTACATAAAACAGTAGAGTTAGCCTATCCCTCCCTCTTCCCAGTCTTAGATCCTGGGACTACTCCTCCTTACTACTGTCCTTTGTGGCATTATTTTCCAGTATAGAGCACTCTGATCTGCATTAAAAACCTGTTCAGGCAGATACCCTTTCTCAGTGATTTTCTTAATGGTATTGGGAACTTGTCTGCTGCCTCTTGGTTAGCAGAAGCTGCTTCTCCTGCTATCTTGATATTTTTTAAGCCAAACCTCTTTATAAAATTACCAAACCATCCCTTGCTGGCATTAAAATCTCTAGCTTTAGATCCTTCACCTTCTTTTTGCTTTAAGTTGTCATATGATGACTTTGCTTTTTCTTGAATCATATGGGAATCCATAGGTATGCCTTTTCTTACAGCAATCCTGCACCAACATACATTTTCAATATGATAAAAAGGTATTTTGCAATAAGCACATTGTACAGGTTTTTACACCTGCTGTTGTAGCTACAGCTACAGCTTCACAAATTTCCTTTTCTATTTTTATAATGGTCCGTACTACTCTGGATTCATTTATCTTGAAATGGTGGGCAACTGCAGCCGCAGTCTTCAACCTACAGTACATATCAAGCAATTCAACTTTTTCTTATAATGTCATGACTTCTCTGCTTCTTGGAACATTTCTAGCATCACTGGTGGCACTTCATATGGGTCCCATGATATTCAAAGTCTATGGTATTATAAACACCATGAAAAATATCCAAGAACCATAAGAGATTTACTGGAGAGATGAACCATGATAATTAGTGTCACACGGTGTTTTAAGCAGATACGTACAACAGTTGAGCTTGCCAAAATAGTGACACGAGATGACTATGAAATTATTACAGTACCGTATGTACTACCATTAATTTTATGCAGTTCTGATTTAATACTGCATCTTGGTGGTGTTCATATTTATCTCAACTGTGAATGGCACCATGTACGGTCTGTGTATGCAAAAGTTTTGATTAATTTTAACTATAGTAGGTTTGTATATATTTTATGTTAGAAATGATAAAATAGAGTTGTATCTACATATATTTTATGCATTCATGATATCTTAATTTTTTTCATATTTCTGGGCTATGCAGTTTCTTTGAGTTTTTCAAATTGAGTTTTTGCAGATCTCCAAAAATGTTTCCAATATATTCATTGAAAAAAATATCACATATAAGTGGACCCATGCATTTCAAACTCGTGTTGTTCAAGGGTCAACTGCATAGTTATTATCTCAAGAAGACCTAAGAGATTATTGTACACACAAAACAGAAATAAACAAGTCTTGGAAATTAAAAAACAATTAAAATTGTCTGAAAATGTGCACAAGAACAGCATATTAGTGAGCTGAAAAATGTAGCTGAGGAGTTCTCCCCAAACAAAGCATAAAATGACAGAGAAGATAAAAATAGGGGAGAAACAATGAGATATTCAGCTCAGCTCTTAACATTCAGATCCATCAATAATAGGAGATCCGGAAAAGTAAAATGGCAGTAGGGGACAGGAAAGGGAATTAGAACTAAGAACAGAAGAAATGTTCTTTAGGACCGTTAGTGCTGTGCTAAATAGTCTAGGTCATAGGAGTCATCTTTATCTTGCTTTAGCTTGCTTTTAAACTTACTGAAACTGCTTATGTGTAATCATTATTAGGTATGCTGTAGAATTTTGGTAGTTACTATATTCCTACCAAAAACTGGTAGTTCTATTGTTGTTTTATGATACTTGAATAGGTATAGGATTTGCCTTTTTCTTTTTCAGCATGACTTACGATAATCACATGGTTTTGCTTCTTTACTTTGTAAATTACATAAATTTGTTAGTATTGGAGCATCCTCGCATTGGGATAAACACTATAAACACAAATTGGTATCCTACAATTTGCTAATATTTTATTTAGTTTTAAATGTTCATAAATGTTCATTAAATGAAATAAGATCATAGCTTTCTCTTTTTGTGACCAGTATATTTTGACTAAAAACTGATTATTCAGCTTCTTAAAGAAAAGTTAGAAATTAAAGCAGCACATACATTCTAAAATAAGGACAAACATATTCATAATAAAAGATTTGGGATATTTTGTGAAAAGAAAATGTGAAAGCTCCTAAACAGTAAAGGTTTAAATAAGATTTTTTATTTCAAGATATGTGATGAATATTTTGTAATCTTGTTAAGTTTCTGCTTTTATGTGTTCATGATTCTTTTAATATAAATTGTATTTCTCTTTAGGTACGCATAGCTGCAAAATTCATTACTCATGCACCCCCAGGGGAATTTAATGAAGTGTTCAATGGTGAGTAAAGATGAGTATTTAGTGTTTTTTTTATAATTCTTATATATATATATATATATATATATATATTGGTATCATTAATACACAATTACATGAGCAACCTTGTGGTTACTAGATTTCCCCAATTATCACATCCCCACCGTATACCCCATTACAGTCATTGTCCATCAGCATAGTAAGATGCTATAGAATCACCACTTGTCTTCTCTATACTATACTGCCCTTGCCCATGCTGCCCACCTTACATTAGTGTGCTAATTGTAATGCTCCCTTTTCCCATTCTCCCTTCCCACCCATCTTCCCCAGTCCCTTTCCCTTTGGAACTGTTAGTCCATTTTGGGTTCTGTGAGTCTGCTGCTGTTTTGTTCCTTCAGTTTTTGCTTTGTTCTTATACTCCACAGATGAGTGAAATCATTTGGTACTTGCCTTTTTCTGCCTGGCTTATTTCACTGAGCATAATACCCTCTAGCTCCATCCAGGTTGTTGCAAATGGTATGATTTATTTTCTTCTTATGGCTCAATAATATTCCATTATATATATGTACTGCATCTTCTTTATCCATTCATCTACTGATGGACACTTAGGTTGCTTCCATTTCTTGACTATTGTAAATAGTGCTGTGATAAACATAGGGGTGCATATGTCTTTTTCAAACCGGGCTCCTGCATTCTTAGGGTAAATTCCTAGGAGTGGAATTCCTGCATCAAATGGTATTTGTATTTTGAGTTTTTTAAGGAACCTCCATACTGCTTTCCACAATGGTTGAACTAATTTGCATTTCCACCAGCAGTGTAGGAGGGTTGCCCTTTCTCCACATCCTCACCAACATTTGTTGTTGTTTATCTTTTGGATAGTGGCCATTTGGATGGTGATATCTCATTGTGGTTTTAATTTGCATTTCTCTGATGATTAGCGATGTGGAGCATCTTTTCATGTGCCTGTTGGCCATCTGAATTTCTTATTTGGAGAAGTGTCTGTTCAGATCCTCTGCCCATTTTTTAATTGGATTATTTGCTTTTTGTTTGTTGAGGTGCATGAACTCTTTGTATATTTTGGATGTCAACCCCTTATCAGATATGTCCTTTATGAATATGTTCTCCCATACTGTAGGATGCCTTTTTGTTCTGCTAATGGTGTCCTTTGCTGTACAGAAGCTTTTTAGTTTGATATAGTCCCACTTGTTCATTTCTGCTTTTGTTTCCCTTGCCAGTGGAGATATGTTTATGAAGAAGTTGCTCATGTTTATATTCAAGAGTTTTACCTATATTTTCTTCTAAAGTTTTCTGGTTTCATGACTTACATTCAGGTCTTTACTTTGATCCATTTCGAGTTTACTTTTGTGTATGGAGTTAGACAGTAATCCAGTTTCATTCTCTTACATGTAGCTGTCCATTTTTGCCAACACCAACTGTTGAAGAGACTGTCATTTCCCCATTGTATATCCATGGCTCCTTTATCGTATATTAATTGACCATATGTGCTTGGGTTAATATCTGGACTCTCTGTTCTGCTCCACTGGTCTATGGGCCTGTTCTTGTGCCAGTACCAAATTGTCTTAATAACTCTGGCTTTGTAGTAGAGTTTGAAGTTGAGAAGCAAGATCACCCCTGCTTTATTCTTCCTTCTCAGAATTGCTTTGGCTGTTTGGGGTCTTTTGTGGCTCTATGTGAATTTTAGAACTATTTCTTCCAGTTCGTTGAAGAATGCTGTCAGTATTTTGATAGGGATTGCATTGAATCTGTGGATTACTTTAGGCAGGATGGCCATTTTGAAAATATTAATTTTTCCTACCCAAGAGCATGGAATGAATTTCCATTTATTTGTGTCCTCTTTAATTTCTCTCAAGAGTGTCTTGTAGTTTTCAGGGTATAGGTCTTTCACTTCCTTGATTAGTTTTTTTCCTAGGTATTTTATTCTTTTTGATGCAATTGTGAATGGAATTGTTTTCCTGATTTCTCTTTTTGCTAGTTGATCATTCGTGTATAGCAATGCAACAAATTTCTGCGTATTAATTTTGAATCTTGCAACTTTGCTGAATTCAGATATTAGTTCTAGTAGTTCTGGGGTGGATTCTTTAGGGTTTTTTTATGTACAATATCATGTCATTGGCAAACAGTGACAGTTTGGCTTCATCCTGACCAATCTGGATGCCTTTTATTTCTTTGTGTTGTCTGATTGCCGTGGCTAGTACCTCCAGTACTATTTTGAACAAAAGTGGAGAGAGTGGGCATCCTTGTCTTGTTCCTGATCTTAGATGAAAAGTTTTCAGCTTCTTGCTGTTAAGTATGATGTTGGCTGTGGGTTTGTCATATATGGCCTTTATTATGTTGAGGTACTTGCCCTCTATACCCATTTTGTTGAGAGTTTTTATCATGAATGGTTGTTGGACTTTTCTGCATCAAATGCTTTTTCTGCATCTATGGAGATGATCATGTGATTTTTGTCCTTTTTGTTGATGCGGTGTGTCGCGCGCCCCGTCCTCGCCGGCAAGAACAGCACGCAACAACAGCAGGATTCTTCTGCAGAAAGCTTTATTCTTCAGCTCTTTGTGAAACAAATGAGTTGGGCAGGACCCAGAGGGGAAGGAGAGGCTTGCTTATATAGTTCTCATGCTCTGACCTGGTTGGTGCGGCTCCATATGCCTTATTAGCATAACCATTTGGTGGGTCTCATTGGTCCTTATGCCAAGGCGCAATTAGCATGTAGTTTAGTGGTGTGGGATGATTTGTCATTAGGAAGTTCGGGGCCTTCCGGCTGCCCTGCATGGGGCGCTATTTTCTGAGCACGGCTGCCAACAGCGGTGGATGATGATGGATTTTCGAATATTGTACCATACTTGCATCCCTGGGGTGAATACTACTTGATCATGGTGTATGATCGATCCTCTTGATGTATTTTTGAATTCAGTTCACTAATATTTTGTTGAGTATTTTTGCATCTGTGTTCATGAGGGATATTGGTCTGTAGTTTTCTTTTTTTGTGGTGTCTTTGCCTGGTTTTGGTGTTATAGTGATGCTGGCTTCATAGAATGAGTTTGGAAGTACTCCCTCCTCTTCTGTTTTTTGGAAAACTTTAAGGAAATGGGTATTATATCTTCTCTAAATGTCTGGTAAAATTAGAGTATTTCGTTATTTTAAGCCCTGCTTAACTACATATTGTACTTACTGAGTGCTTGGTATCTCTTTTAGTCTTTAAAACGTATTACAGCTATAGCCAAGGAAATCAAGATTCAAAGAGGTTAACTTAACTTACTGAACATCATCACCTAGGTAGTGTCAGAGCAAGGATTCAAACACAGGTCTGAGACAAAGGCACGCTGTCAACCCATAAATTTGGATTCCTATCGTGAGAGAAGAGTTAGTCATTTAATATCAATAAACATAGAAAAAATATTACCTTGTTTTCATAGTTTCTTATCAAATAGGTTGTAGCTTAAACTTCTTCAGTACTTGCACTCAGGAAGTGCCCTAGTATAGGACATTTTCTGGAGCCATTGGGGCTGAACCAACCACATCTGGGAAGCTTGTTAAATATACAGATTCCAGTGTTACCATCCTCTTAAGATTCTCATTCATCAGCTCTGGGATGGAATCAGGTAATCTGTTTTATCAAGCTCTCCCAGGTGATTCTGAGTCACAGCCAGTTTAGGAATCACAATTCCACTGTGTTTACAATCTTCCATACTATTCAGTGTCTTTAACACAACTTACAGAATAAAAAATATAGATGAGGCATCTTGAACTTTGTGATAAAATCAATCATCATAATCCCATTTTAAGTTATTAAATTCATCTTAAAGTTCCCCTTAAGTAAAATTATAATCTTTATGTATCTGAGTTCAGTTTAGCAAACATTTATTTTGAAATTCTAGTTTTACCATAGAAGATTATCCACTTGACAGGAACTGTGTGATTCTTACCTATACCTGGACCAGAGCCCCAACACATAGAACAATCAGTAATCTCCATTGGTAAAAATTCATAATGCAGAGAAAGAGTAGGAGAATGTATAAACATTTACTATAAAGGCTAAGTAATGCAATAGGAATAAACCAGGACATTCTTCTTTATAAACTTGTTCATGGATTTTGAGCACTAACAGCAAGAGAAACAAATGCAGCCTTTCTTTCCCTAGTCTTTCTTCCGTATTGGCCAAATGTAAATTTTCAGCAACTGAGCTTTCAGAAAATTCTCCTTCAACTTGAACTTTATAGCCAACTGATTAGGTCAGATGAATTCTTGATTTAACAAAATGAATGGCCTTTGCAGTTAGAAGTCTCATGGTTTATTTTTATCAACCAAGTGTACTCCACAGGAATATCAAGAGAATAATTGACACCAAAGCATTAGATTGAGGATTGGCAAGCTGCTTGTGGCATGAGGGCTGGTTTATTGGCATGCTGCACATTGACATCTGCCAGGCCCTTCTTTCAGAAGCACTTTAGAGTCAGTAGCCTTTGCTTGCAGTTAGCTTTCCCTCTTGGAATTAGTCTTTGGTAGTTCCTTAGTAACAAGGACCCCCCTCTTCCAAAAAGAAAGTGACTAGAATCTTGACACATAGCTTTTTCAAAAGGTTGTAAGCCCCCACATTTGATTCTCCAAAGGAAAATATGTTCAGCAATTTGACTGCCACTGACCAAATTGTGCCAGCATTTTTGGTCTGATGTTATAAAAGCCCTGCAATTTTAACGATTCTTTAGGTACAAAATGAGTAGTCCTGACTGTAACCTTCTATAAACTGTTTTTCATTTGCTCTGAAATTCCTTGAGAGTTTATTACTGGATTATTGTGCCACAAATAATTATATGCAAATCTGTGAAGATTAGTGTCTGTTTGCAGTTTCTGTACATAAAGCATATCCAAAGACTAACCTTACAAAACCTGATTTTTAAAAAATACAGTATAGAAATCTGCTAAAATTTCTCAAGTTTGTCCTCTACTGAACATTTTAATTTTAACGTCTTTAACATTTTTTCTCCTCAGATGTCCGGCTACTACTTAATAATGACAATCTCCTCAGGGAAGGGGCGGCACAGTAAGTATCTTTTTAAATCCAGTTACATGTTATTCTAATTTGGATAAATTATGTTAGTAATAAACTAATGCCCTAAAAACTAACATTAAAGTACTTGAAAATAACAGTCGTAGCAGTTATAGTTGTTCTTTTCTTGAAGGAAACATGTTCCCACCAAAAAAGAATTGGATAATGACTAGAAAAGTTGTTTATTTCCTTCAAGCTTATTATATATGATCTTTTTTTTTTTTTTGCTCAGATTTTCCCTGTGAAAGCAGAGTTTAATGTTAGCTGTTAGGCTTTCTTCTATAGTTCTTTTAGTTCATGTTGAATTTTTTTTTAACTGCTAGTAATAGAAAAATAAGGCTGCTGTTGAGGAATTATGTTCCTCACATTACCAAAGAATAGCAGATACTCCTAAAGTGCCTTAAGAGTCAGAGTTAACCATAGAATAATAGCATGATTATTCTACCTAGTCATCTCCTTATCACTGTCAGGCTAGTTAATCTTTCTGAAATATTTTCATTTTGTCCTTGTCCTCAAAAACATTACAGTTGTGTGACTTTTTGTTCTGGGTGTTTTTGTCCAAATCTAAACACTGTCTAGCTTTCAAGGCCCCCTCTCATCTGGCTTTATCGCTACTCTCCTTTATTCTTAAGTGCAAAGTTCTGTTTCAGTTACGATCTATCCAACTGTCTCAGAGTTCCTTTGTAGGAAGGAAACCAGAATTGGATAATGACTGGGAAAGAGAAGGGACAAGGATTTGGATACAGGGCAACAAATAATTATCATAAAGGTGTTTGATATGATATGTATAATTGGTTTAAATTTTAGGCAATAAAAAAACTTTTAAGAGCTTCTACCTGGGAAACAATCATCTCCTGCCCTGTCCTGCTGCTTTTTTGGAACTCATTTTGGGACTAGTTTCTGCAAACCTAAAATGTTTGCATATCATCACTGTAATTGTCATCATGAATGATACCTTAATTATACATTGACTTAGGCACACACTAAAGATACAATCTAATGCTGGTTTCTCTTAGATGCAAAGAATCTGCCATAGAAAAAAGACATTCATGATTTTCTAGGTCAACTCCTGTCTACCCTCTGCCCTTTCATTGAAAGAATCTTATCTATATTTCGTCAACAGATGGTTATCCAATCTGAATGCTTCTAATAATAAGGAATTCACTGTCTCACAAGGCAAGTTCTTTAATTTGCCTGCTATGTTTTGGTCTTAGTTTTATCCTTGAGAGTTATCCAAAATAAATATACTCTGTACTTCACTTGATAAGGTACTGCTGAAGGGGAGATGGGAGTGGAATGCCAAGACCCAAGGGTGATTGCATCCTAAGCCTGTTGTCCTATTTCCAATTAGGGGTGACACTAGAATTTGGTATGTAGTTCAGGTGCTTAAACTGCTTTTAATTGCACTAACAGTAAAGCTTTTGTTTTCATAAATCTTACAGACTCTGGATTCTTGGAGAACATTCTTCTAAAAGAGAATTGTTCTATGCTCAAATATTTGATTTTTCACAGGGATGAAGGGTTTTATTTCTATAAGATGCTTCAGCCCCTTGGCCATAATCCTCATAGTTAGCATTCAGTAAATATTATTTCAGTAATCATCATCCCTACCATTATTGCCTTCTATATGAAGTGAAAGAGGCTTGAACAAGCCAGGATTTACTATCTTTCCTGGATTTCCACCTACCCTTCTGGCCACCAGAACCATTCTCTGACAATTTCTAGCACCGCTGGACAATTAGAATTATCTATTAAGAAATTTAAATCTATTATCTATTTATTAATTAAGTTTATTGCTTTAATCTATTTAAATTACTCTTTAGTGTATTAAAGAGTAGAATTTATTCCAAGAGACATGGGAAATAGAGTGTTTTGAGCAGAATGAAATGATGAGACTTAATTTTAGAATAACCACTGGTTGCTATGCAGGGAGGCAATGATTAAAGTAAGATGGGTATTTAAAAGACTATTAGAGTAGCTTAGAGATAAATGTTGTTGGTTTAGACTAGAGTGGTAGTACTAAGGGTGGTGGGAAGGAGTCAGATTTTGACATATACTCAAGATTTGAACCTATAAGATTTACTGTTGAATTGGATGTAAGGTATGAGAAGAATCAAGGATCATCCCAAATTTTTGACCTGAACAACTGGTAGAATAGAGGTACCATTTACTTGAGATGGGATTAAATGTTAACAGATTTTGGTGTTGGTGTTCATAATCTACAGTCTTAGGACATATCCTAGAATTGAATACTTATTTACTCTCTTACTCCTTAAGTTTTTCAATATGTGTACATATATATAAAATATATATTTAATGTACTTTCCATGGCATTTAATTTTTATTCCTTTGTGAAGAGCCAGTATGGTTAGGACTCATTTTGCTACATGAGATGTAGTGTTACAAGGAAATCATTAAAAAATACAATAATAACTTAAAATACTTTCAGAAGGTTGAAGGTTAGCCTTAAATATTTGAAGAAGTTTAAATATTTGTTACTTTGATTTCTCTTGAAAAGTCGAGGAAAAGTTTAATGCTTTAAAACCTGTGGCCTAGCAAGTGTTTTAGTAGGTTAACATTGGGCTGGAGAGGTGTTTAACTCTTCCCCTGGCAAGTGAATTCTATAAGACTTGATATTTTTTAAGAATATAAGTGTGTTATTCTTCCATATGCTGCAGCTTATTTCTGTTTGTTTTTGACTCACTTTAGCTTGCTTTGTAAGATGTACTAGGAGTCCTTGAAAACACACTGTTTTATAATCTGGCACCGGACAAATAAACAATAATATTAGGCATGTATTTTGATTAATTATCCCCTTTTTAATGACCTCCATTCTGCCTTAGGCTCTCCTCTGAAATTTGGCCCATGTTGAACTCTCACCTCACCCTCTCCCCATGTCAGATCTTACCCGTACACTTAATTATGGTCTCTCCTACCCTGTCCTGCTCCACCCATTATAAAGAAGACAACATTGTGAAAATAGTGTGTCATCCGAGATCTCTGTGGAAAGGAGTTCCTTCAGAAAGCCAAAAGGCATTATGTTAACACTACCTGTCAGGAGAGAAAAGGAAAAGCACCTTTTGGGGAAAAAAAAAGTGTTTTCACATTCTCTTTTGCTAGTATGTGAACTACCTTTTGTGTTTATTTATATATAATTTTTCTCTCCCCCTTTCTTTTTTTTGTCTCTTTTTTTTAACTCCTTAAAAAAACAGTGCATTTGCCCAGTATAACATGGATCAGTTCACACCTGTGAAGATAGAAGGATATGAAGACCAGGTAATAATTGCTCCTATTAAATAGGCTATGCCTGGAGGGTAGTAGAAATCCTATCAGCTAAAGCAGATGTCTGAAGATAAGATGCTAAATAAATTTATGTCATAATTTTCATAGCTTTTGTAAATATTCTACATGTTAGGAAATTGTTCTCTCTCTGACAATACTAGGAGTTTCTTTGACAGGAAAGGAGAGCTGTCCCTAACAAGAACAGTTAAAATAAAAGGAGTTGAGTTTTACACAGGTTTTCCAGCTGTCTCTACTTCTTGGTAAGACTAACAAGAGACATTGTATTTAATGGGAAAACAGGCATTCCCCTTCAAATAGAGGAACAAAGCAAATATGCCCATTAGGACATAGTTATTAATTTTGTAAAACAGATCCTTGCAAATTCACTAATGTATACTTCAAAGTCAATATGGCACTAAATACCCTAATTCCCTTTAAAAGTCTGAATCCCCTTTGAACCCACAAGTCCACAGAATTTATCCTAAGGAAATAATTAATATAAATGTGTAAAAAATTATTTGAAGCAAGTTTCTAATAGTGAAAAATTGGAAACAATCTAAATGTCCAACATTAAATTAAATATCTGTAGACCAAAATACTATATGGCCATTAAAAACTGATAAAAAATACTATCTGGGAAGATGTTCATAATATATTAAGCTAAAACATAAGGCAGCATATGTAGAATTATTTTGGTTTATTTTTTAAATAGATACTTAAATACACAGTTACACTGTAGTAGAACCAGTGCATATTAATTTCTGTGAAAGATTATTTTTTGTACTTCTAAGAAAGAAAGTCTGCCAGTTAAACTATGACAGCCCTAAGATGCCTTCATATGTAAGGTGCATTCCATTTTATGAGATGTCAAATCGTGGGGGAATGTGTGCATCTTAGAGATTGAAGAAGTATATATATGTGCATAGAAAAGGAATTGTGGGGAAATAATACACCAAAATGTTAATTCTATGTGTTGGGATTACAGGATTCCTGGAATTTGTTTTGCTTGTTGTGCTTTGTTTGTTTTGGTTTATATTTTTCTAAATTTCCTCAATGAAAATTACATTAATTACAAGCATAAAAGATAAAGAATATGGGGAAATAAATGATAAGTATTGCTTGTAAATGATATTGTATACTTTAAAAATATAGAGGAATTATTGAAATAATAAGGTCTGTGTCCAAGTGCATGACACAAGAACATTCCCATATACTAGTAGTGGCAAGCTTTAAAATGTAGTCAAAAGGAGATTATATTCTTAGCCATAACAAGAATAGAAAAACAGGACCTGGACATTAAAATAAGGGAAGATGTATGCATTACTATTACCATAGTATTAGTAACCATGGATGCCATCACTGCATATAACAAAAAATCAACTACAGTGGGTTACCTAGAGATTTTATTTTGTCATGTAAGAAGTCCAGAGTAATATTCAGGGCTATTATGGTAGCTCCAAGATGTAATCAGAGACCCAAGTTGCTTCTAGCTCTCTATTCTGCCATCCTTAAGTATAGTTTTCATTATTATGTTGTCAAGATAGCTGCTCCATTTCTGAACACCAAATCCATTTTCGAGGAAAGAAGGCAGAAGGTGCAAAAGGTGCTATTGGCTCTTTTGGCATCTTTCACTGATAAATCATTGCCAGAAGACATACCTACCACCTTATCGCTCCTAGCTGGGAAGTGTCATTCTTTTAATTGGACGCATTGCATTCTTGATGACCTTTGAGATTCTCATGGTAAGGAAAAAGAAAAGAATGGATATTGTATAGGACACTAGCAAGAGTCTGCCACCCAGTTCACACATACACACGCACACACATTTTAATCAGAAATAAATAGAAATTTAAATAGTTTTAAGTGCCATGTTTCTGAAGAAGAAATATAGTATGGAAAGCTTATCTGAATAGAAATCTAAATGATATGAGAAACTTTGTTTTTCAAATAGATTTCATACAATTGGTATGAAAATTGTAGTATAGGATTATTCTGACAAGAACAACAATGAAGGGGAAGACTAATGCTAGCAAATAGCAAACATAAAGACAGAAAGCAATGACCATAGAGCCCTTAAACTAAGTATCATAAAACAGAAGGGGAAAAGAAATGATAAAATTTATGAGACTGATCTAACACTGAATTCCAGTGCTGACTATATACCTCGATTAATTGCATGTGAAGTTTAAAGGTTAACTAATTTTTTAAACAAAAATATAATAGAAAATGGAATTACCTTGAGTAATGATGAAACATTAGAAAAGTTTATGAAAGTGACTTCTGCATAATGAAAAGTTTTAAAAATGAGACTTAAAGAAAATATTACCTCAAACATATAGATAAAGGTTATTCAAATACCTAAGGATGATGCTAAGAGTTCAGTAGGAAAATGAGCAACAGACATGAACCAGTTGCACCCAATTGGAGAATACTAAGCAGACTTGGAAAAGTGCTAGATTACCTGGTAATAGTAATTAAGGAAGCACAGATTAAAATTGTAATGTGAATATATTTACTTTTTGTTTATAAAAGTTGCAAAATTATAATAAATCTTTAAGGGTAAGACTAAGAAAATAGTTACATATACTGTTTTTACTGTCATTATAAACAAGCTTCTTAAGAGTAGTCTGCTAATAAGAACAAGAACCTCAAAAACAGGACTTTTTCCAAAATTTATACTAACTTTCAGTAGTGGAAAATATGAATAGATTAAACCTGCCTTCAATTCGGAAAGTATACTGTAGCATATTAATATTATGTAATTAAAAATGGTAAATCTGTCAAAAGACATAGCAAATTAAGGAAAAATATGTGGAACTCACACATGCAAATGGTTACTCTCCCTAATTAACAAAGAGTTTAGATAGAAAAGGCCAAAGACCCCATAAAAAAGTAAGCAAAAGACATGAACAGTTCACAGAAGAGAAAATATAAATGACTTTTTAAAAAGTAAAAAGAAATGCCAATTAAAATTTCTGTTGATACTGGGCTTGTAACTTGGTACAACATCCTATGAGAGCAAGCAGTTTGTCAGTCTGTCAAAATTATGAATGCATTTATCCTCTGACCCAGTTGTCCTGCTTCAGGGAATTTATCCCACAATACTTGGCACATGTACATAATTCATACATAATGCGCACATAAGGATATTCATTGCAGTATTCATAATAGCAAAAGATTGGAAACGATCCAGTTATCCATTAATAGGGGATTGGTTGAATAAATTTTTGTACATCTATACAATGGAGAAATACACAGTTGTAATAAAAAACAATGAAGCTTTCAAACAGTACTAATATGGAAAGATCTAGATATGTTAAGTTAAAAAGTACAGTATGCTATTTCTTATGTAAAAGAGTGGGAAATTAAAATACATATTCATGTTTGCTTGTATTTGTATAAAAGAAATGCTGAAGGAATGCTCTAAATCAGGAATTGGCAAATTTGTTTATGTGAAAGGCCAGATAGTAGATATTTTCAGCTTTGCAGGACATGGAGTCATTCTTAACTACTCAACTCTCCTTAGCAAGAAAGCAACCTTACACAATACAGAAACAAAGGAGCAGGGCTGTGTTCAATAAAACTTTATTTACAAAAACAAATATCGCCTGAATGCATGCCCACCTTGCTCTACATTGATAAAGTCAGTTACCTTGAGGGGAAGGAGAAATTTGTTAAAAATTTGGTGGATGGGAGAGAGGTGAGGAAAAGACTTCATTTTGTTTTATTTTTTTCATTTTTGAACCATGTAAAATAATACCGATTTTAAATGCTAAGTATAATGAGTTGAAAAGTTTCATGAAATTAAAAGGGTACATATAAGTTGTTACTACACCATATATAAAGTACATACATAGGTAATGTATTAGGACAGAAACCAAGAAATGAAGGGTATTGTTAAGGATGGGGGAAATGTTGCTATTTAAACGTGACTTACCCATAAACATAATATTTTAAGAAGGATTAAAAATACAACTTGATTGAAAAATCGATATGGAAGTGAAATTTGAAAAGTTAAACTGTCTTCTTTAGAATTTTTATTTATTTTGTAAAATATGACAAGAACTGTCTTTCTTACAGACTTACTCATATTTGTAATTATTCTTTGAAAGGTTTTAATTACAGAACATGGTGACCTGAGTAATAGCAGATTTTTAGATCCAAGAAACAAAATTTCCTTTAAGTTTGATCACTTACGGAAAGAAGCAAGTGACCCCCAGCCAGAGGAAGCAGATGGAGGTCTGAAGTCTTGGAGAGAATCCTGTGACAGTGCTTTAAGGGCCTATGTGAAAGATCATTATTCCAATGGCTTCTGTACTGTTAAGTATCTGCGTGCTTCATTACTAGAGAGTGTTTTATGTCTTATACTCACCTTAACATCTGGGAGCTTTTGCTACCCAAACATCAATTCTTTCTTCTTAGTTGCCTCTGCATTTAATTCCTAAATCATTTTTGAAAGGGGTATAAATGGAAGATTTTTTTTTAAGGTATCATTGATATACAATCTTGTGAAGGTTTCACATGGACAACATTACGATTTCAACATTCACCCACATTATCAAGTACCCCCCCACACACACCCCATTGCAGTCACTTCATCAGCGTAGTAAGATTCTATAGAGTTATTACTCGTTTTCTATGTGCTATACTGCCTTTTCTTTGTATATTATGTGTGCTGATTATAATGCCCCTTAACCCCCTTCTCCCTCCCTCCCTACCCACCTCCCTAACCCCTTCACTTTGGTAACCACTAGTCTCTTCTTGGAGTCTGATGCTGTTGCTGCTTTGTTCCTTCAGTTTTGCTTTGTTGTTATACGCCACAAATGAGTGAAATCATTTGGTACTTGTCTTTTTCCACCTGACTTATTTCACTGGGCATAATACCTTCTGGTTCCATCCATGTTGTTGCAAATGATAGGATTTGTTTTCTTCTTATGGCTGAATAATATACCATTGTGTATATATACATCTTTATCCTAAATGGAAGATTTATATAGAAAATAAAATCCCAGTGCATAAACGTTTCAAATCTCCGTGTATCCTATTGTACATTTGCTGTCTTACTTACTCATCAGAAATTGCCTTAACACCTATCAAAAAAAAGTTTTTAAAGGTCTTTAGCTTAGACATGGGTAAAAGGTAAATTAAGATTGTTAGGAGAGCTATTGGCCATACTTAGGACATTTTGGTATAGGTATTTTTACAGAAATCTACTTCTATCTACTTTAGGTGTTTTCACTGAATAGTCAAAGTATTTGAACAGTTTTTTAAAAATCAAGGGTAACTCAACTTTACTATCTTTTGGCTCTAAAGATAAATTTGGTTCTATTATGATTTCTCCTTTGTAAAATTGTGGCATATTGTTAAGATGCTGGTTAGAATATTTTAAATAATTGATGATAAAGAGTTAAGTAGCATTATAGAATATTTGTTAATATTTGCCATACTAACTAGTGTGAAATCCAGCCCTACCATTTGACTAGTTGTGTGACCTTGGGCAAATTATTTAACATTTCTGAATCATTTTCTTATCTGTAAGATGGAACTAATAGTTCTTACCTCATAAGATTGTTATGAAAGTTGAATGAGTTAATAATGCGTATAATGTGCCTGGCAAGTGCCTGGCACGAACTAAGCTCTGCATAAATGTTTGGATATCATTATAAATATATGTTTGGGTTTTTTTAATATAATGTAGAAAACCTATTATGGTATATAGGTAGTACAGAATTCCCTTTTGGAACCCAGTATTTGCAAAAGAAGACATGATATAGGCCCTTTTAGAAATTGACTTTCAATGTATCATTTGTTAACTAATCACAGTTTGTCATTAATGCTTAATTTGGAGAGTTGCCACACAGTAACCCTACTGTGTCCTTTTCTCACTTCTCTTAAGTAACAAATGAGCTGCAGAAAGTCATGGAATTGTTCCAACAATGTCTACTGTACCCAAGTGTCTTATATCCTCAGCTCTTCTGCTTAGTAATTATTAATTTCATCTCAATATTCCCTAGGACATTTTCTATATAGTGTATTCCAAACCTTTCCCATTGTCCTTAGACAGGCATCTAATCCCCCATGTTTTAATATGATTGAGACTGATATGAAATCTTTTTATTTCACTTCCTTCCACACTCAGAAATCTTTTCTTTCTTCCCTTTGTGCTTAAATCTGAGGAAGGAAGGATTCTTAATGCTTGCTTTCATACTATCCTATCTACTTCACAATGTCTTCTGTGACTTCGTATTTCTCTTTACTTTACAAATATTTTTATTTCTTCTGTCATTAAAAGGGGAAAAAAACCTTTTCCTCAGTTTTTTAAGATACTCTTTAAAGATAACTTCTCATTCTTCTGTTTCTAACCTCTTCCACTTCCCTCATCTCTCCCTGACAAACTCTCCCACACAAACAAACCAGGGAGCATTCTGCTCCTACTAGTACCATTTCCTCATTACTTTTCCACTTATTAACCCTGTGAATTTTGGCTTTGGTACCTATTCTGCAGAAACTGCTCTCTGAGTTTACTAATGGTTCCTAAATTGCCTGACCCAGTGTCATGTCCTTGGTCCTTGATTTCTGAATTGCACTTCACACTGAGGCTAACCAGCTACTTCTACAAATTATCTTTTGCTTAGACTGCTGTGTTAGCACCCTCTAATTATTCTTACTCTGTCTCTACGTATTTTTTTCCCCTGCCTTTGTAAAGTAGGCATTCCCCATTGCTGTGTTTTTCTCTTTTGAAAACTCAGTTTATTTAATGTAGGGAAAGTAGCTGAATTTGTTGTTAGAAAAGCAGTGGGTTTGGGTTTTACCTTTACCCCCTTACTTTCTGAATGACCTTGGGCAAGAAGCTCTGTGAACTTCAACTTTATTATCTATAGATGGTAACAGTGTTTCAACCAGATTAGAGCAAAGTAAAAGGCATGCAAAAACATTTGTGGACTATAAAGTGCTATTTAGTTAACTTTTTGCTTTTCTTGGTGATTGTATTTCTGTTCACCTTCTCCACACCAAGGAACAGTTGGTGTTTCTAACTACTAACTGTATATTTCCATCTGAATTTTCCAGTTTATTAATAACACCACCATCTTTCTAGTCACCCAAGCATGCAAGTACTTTGGCTCCTTCCTGTCATTTGCCCTTTGTTTGCAATATATGGTTACCGACTTTTGATTGTGTTTCTGCATCCTGATACCCATTGATACTGCTCTTAACTTACTGCCTAGATTAATTCTGGGGCCTCCTACCCAACTTTCAGCTTTTCTTCCATTTACTCTGTGTACCATTACTAATTATTCCCCCAAAATAATAGTTCTAGTCATGTTGTTTTGGTGTCTGTCCGTTGCCTGTAGAATAAAGTCCAGACTTTTATATCTACTGTTACATGACCTAAATCTACCATTCTGTACTGTCTCCCACTAGTCTACTTCACACACACCCTCTAATGTGTCAGAACTAATTGCCATTTACTTAACAAGCCCCCAGTTTCCTGCTTGAAGTGTTGACTCTTTATTCTCAGTCTCTGCTTGCCAAAATCTCATCTGTTTTGTAAGGCCCAGTCTGACTGGCACCTCCCTGGTACCCTGAACCAGAAGTATATTTCACTCTATTCATTATGCCACTGTCTCCTAGAATTTAAGGTGGTGTGCTGTGTGTCATATCTCATCAACACTTGTGAGATGTAAGCTTATCCTGTCTGATTTGTTGTCTCCTCCCAGGATTTGATACACTGCTTAATTAGTATAGTGTTTATAATTTAGATTAATATGTTTTCAGAGTCTAACTTTTTTTGTTTTAACCAATAGGTTTATGCTAAAACTATAGATGGGCAACAGACCATTATTGCATGTATTGAAAGCCACCAGTTTCAGCCTAAAAACTTCTGGTAAGAAAGTAGATGTTATCTTCTGTTTGTATCTAACTTTATATTAGAATGAAATGGAACCAGCAGTTGAGACTTCTAATCTGAGAGTTCTAATCTTTTAATCCTTTGAGCAGTTAGGTTTTTTATTTAACTCTTGGAATGAGGTATTTGACTTCAGTGGGAGACTTCAGTGCCCCTTCTGCAAAATAAGAGATTTAGACATGATCATTTAGATTCTTCCCAGTTCTAAGATTTTGCAGGCTGTCTTTTTGAAAAGTACTCTTATATTGAGTGAGAATAGTGATTAATAAAGTGCCCTGTTGAAGGTCTGAATTTTACTTGATTTTGTTTAATAATATGTGAGTTAATTGAATAATTCAGTGGCCCATATTTGTTTATAGAGGAGCCTCCCATGAACAGAATAGGCATGGTTTTCTACTCTAAGATGAAAAATGAAAAGTCAAAATAACTTAAAAAAGACTTAAGATAGGCTGCCTGGATACAAACTTACATATGAGTGGAAAAGGCCTCAGATTTGTCAAACTCAATATGACTTCTTTTTTTTTTCTCTTTCCCAAATTCTCTGCCTCAGAGGCAAACCACCTCTTTCTTATGCCTATTGCTAATTCTGCAGTATTGTTTATGTGCGTTTTAATAGGAATGGTCGTTGGAGATCAGAGTGGAAGTTCACCATCACACCACCTACAGCCCAGGTGGTTGGAGTACTTAAGATTCAGGTGAGATCCGCACATGTTAATAGGCAATGTTAAAATGTCACATCTTTAAAACGAACATACAAGTTTTGTATTTGTTCTGGTGTTAGAAATAAGGAACAACCATATGTAGATGCAAAGGGAGATGAATGGTAGTGAATAGAAATAAAAGCCTCCTTCCTAGGGAAATAGTTAAATAAAGAGCTATTCTGGGTTAATGAAGAATAGTCCTGTGGAGTAGAGTATACTGTTTGCTTGTTATCTTTCATTTTTCCTTCAAAGACTACCTAAGATCTTTCCAGGAATCATCAAATCATCTTTCCTAGCAATTCTAGGAAAGAAGAAAAAAAATAGCCAGTAAGAAGTGACAGTTAAGCAACTACTGTATCTTTCTTAGGGTCTTTCATGTATATTATCTCATTTACATATGTATATACACTTTTAAGTTTTGAAGAAAGCTACATGAGTGGATTTGTTGTTTTATTTTTTATAGTGATGATATAAAGTTTTAAAATCAAGTAAATAAAACAGGAACTTGAGAGAATGGCCAAGTGTTGTCATGTTGTGGAACATAAGTAACCAAGCAGAGCAGATTTCTAATGTTGGTGTCAGGTCAGATAGGTGGGTGAACAAGGAGTTTGTTAACTTACTTGATACCTGTCTGGATTGAAGTCTTTTGATAAGCTAGCAGAGGTCTGACTTTCAAAACTCAGGGTGATTTAATTCTTAAGCCCAATTAACTCTGAGGTTAGATTAAATACTTATAACTGAGAAAATTGATACCCAATTGTATATTACATTGTGCTAAGTCTTGTTTTATTTAAAGAACTGCCTTTTTTAATGGTATGATTTAATAAAAAAAAATTTTAGTAGATGTTGTCCGTGCCTACTCTTTTCATCATACTGATAGCTTCCTGCTGTAGCTAGCTGCCACTCTCTTCCTGGTAGCTTTTCCTGGCCACAGGAGCATACCGAACTTGAATGAGGCAAGCTGGAAGTGTTAAGTTCACAGTTCTGGAGCATCCCTGAGAGCCCTACAGGAGCTGGTAGATAAATATGCCAGTGTCCTCACCTTTCAGGTTGAACATGAAAGGATGTTCTACTTAGTCCTCCAGAGTCCACTCTCCACAGCTGTAACCTACTCATTAGTGCACCTGTTAGACTTCTTTCCCTTGTGTCTCACTTCCTCATTCCTTGCTGTGCTTCCTGAAATTACCTCCCAAATAAACAATTTCCTTGCAAATCTGTATCTTGGGGTCTGCTTCTGGGGGATCCCATCCCAAGACAATACATTTTTCCTTTTCTGTTAATCATATCTATGAATAGTCTAGTGCTATTTATTACCTCTTGTAACAATGCTGTCTGCATTAACCAGGCAGCTTACTATAAACTTATATAAGTAAATTTATTTTCCTTCTAGAAGGAAACAGTTACTTGTGTTTCAGCTTTTTAATGCAGATTTATTTAAGAGGATGATAGTTTCTGATAAGACTTACAGCAGGGCTTGAACCCAGACCTTACTTACACCTTTTAACCAGATTATCTGATCCCACTTTGGGAAGAGGCTTACTTGATTTATGTATTTTTTAAAAATCAAGTGATAATTTGGAGAAGTTATTAAGATGTTTAGCCCTTTGGTTATTCTTTAGGCAAAAGGGTAGTTCTGGGAAGGCAACAATCTCTGAAGATTTACATTGATGAAAGTCATGTTGAAGTTTTTATGACCAGATGAGACCTAGAAAGTGTTTTGCTGCTTTTGGTGACTGAAGCTTAGGAGATTCTCACCAAGCTGAGGATACTGGATTTCATTGTCCTCCCAAGTGCTCTAACTCCTCCCACACACCCTTCTGCAAAATAGTCTGACCCACTCATACCCTTCTCCACCAAAAAAAAGGAAAAAAATTTTTGTTTTAAAACAGACTTTTAAGCTTAATTTGTCATTAGTGTATTCGATAATGAAATTAATATTTTTAGAATTTTCAGTTGGGTTCATAAACAGACTTACTGGCCTTATCCTGTATTCCTATCCTTGTCCTAGTTCTTAGGAAACATAATAAAAGTTCAAACCAATTGCATAGTCTTTATTCTTGGACAAAAAAAGATAAGCCCTGCATAGCACCTTCCTTTATGTGGGTTCTGAGAAATGTCTCAAATATATACAAGTTCTTGTTTCTTTCTTAATATCTCCCATTCTGTTTATACTCATTCCCTTCCTCTAGTGTTCTTTTTAGCCTCTGGACTTCCAGTTTCTTAGTTCAAAAACAAAATTAGTGCATGGATATGACTCACCTATGTACTGAATATCTTTGTCCTTGTCTTGTAATTTTAGCTTTTATGTGTTGTCATTATTATCCCAATATTTTTTTTGCCCAAATATTTGTTGTACTGATTCTTTGCATGTAAGTATTACAGGCATTTCTCAACTCCTTGCTTTTTCAGTATATTCTCAAATTGTCTTCCTTTTTTATAAAGGGAAAAGATAAAATCTAAGGGTTTTTAGAAGGGCATGGAAAATCTAATTTCTCTTCCCATCTGGACAGTCAGCTGTTTGTCCCCATTAGGGAAGACACCTTTTTTCTTTTTGGTACCTTAATCAACAAGATCTTGTAGTGGGTTCATGTTGCTTAGGGGAAGTCCTTTGTTGCTAATAGGATCAAGGTTTCTGCCAAGAAGATGCTTAGCTGTTTTTATTCCCTTCTAATAAAAATTTAGAAGAGTATCTCACCAGTGAGACACCTTATTTCTATCTGAATCAGTGAGTTTGTAACTTTTTGACAAAACAGAATTGGGAGATACTATATTATGCACATCACACAGGGTTTTAGTTCTGGAATTTGACCTAATTCAGATCCTGACTCCTCCTATTAGGATGTGAACATGGGTAGATTATTGTGAAACTGCCTCAAACCTCAGTTTCCTCATCTGTAAAATAGGGAAAATATTAGTCCCTAATTGCAGAATTTTTGCAAAGATTGAATGAGATAATAAATGTAATAAGTAAAATGTTCTGCATAGTGCCTAACATAAAGTAAATACTAACAGCTGTAGTAGTGCAGGTTGTTGCTCCTTTCTTCTCCTTTTCTGCTTTACCTCTAAAAACATTTCCTTTTGATCAAATGTCTCCTGGTAGTATTGACTAGATGAAAGAAACAGGCATTACCTGAACTGCTATTCTGCATTATGCCCTCAAAGTCAACTCCATCCACTTTATTTTCTTCATAAGGGAAATGTAATCTTTGTAAAACTTTCCCTTCTGAGTCCCTATCACCTGTAACAGGATAGTCTGAATTCTTAACATGGTTTATAAGGTGTTTTGCTTTTCTCAGTCTATCTGCAACTTACTTCATAGCAATGTCTCCTGCCACTCTTCCTTCCACACAGTCATCCACAGTGAGTTCTTTGTTCCTCCCTAAATTAAAACAGTTGTGCTTCATTCTCTTGTACTTTTTTTAATCCCCTTGCTAGATACCCTTCTCTACTTGTCCACTTAGGTGACAACTCCTGTTTCAAGACCCTGTTCAAGTGCATTTCACAAAGGATATTCTCATCCTATTATATATGGCCAATTTGTAGCCATATTAAAGTGACTGAATCTGTCTTGTAAGTTGCCAAAATTTCCTGACCCTTAATGCGTCGTTGGTTCACTAGTCTCTCTTGTGTACCCCTCCTTCTTGCTAATTGTTTTCGTAATTGTACAACCCCATTTTACATTATGTACTCAGAACTGCTTTTGTCTTGTGTTGTTTTGTAGTCTAATTTGCCAGTAGATAAACTATTTCTTTTTAAATCCTGTCTTTAACCCTCCATTAAGCTTTATTGTACCTGGTCAGATCTCCTTACCGAATATACGGAGAAATGCATAAGGGATTAAGATCCATTAAAATTCCTTGGTTTTCACAGAGAAAAACTAATTTTCAATTATTTCATTTGAATTATGTTAATACTGTTAAGAGTGGAGTCTTTAAGATCTTTGTATTCACATGCCTAGCACAGTTCCTGGAATGCAGTATGCAGGTATATAATAGCTGTTGAACTTCACCAGTTTCCCTGCTAAGGAAAGAGAAATCTTAAATGTAAATGTTCTGTGAATTTTAATCCCACCATTGTAAATTACCAGCGGTCATATTAATTATTCACTCTGAGCTGGTAAAGGTTGGGGATGGTTTAAGACCTGGGGTTCAACCCCAAGCAATGATTTTCTTTATGAACTACACATAAACTTGCTCAAACATTATCTCACACAGGTGCACTATTATGAAGATGGCAATGTTCAGTTGGTTAGTCATAAAGATGTACAGGATTCAGTAACTGTTTCGGTGAGTGTGGAATGCCTTTGTTTTTCTTTTTTTTTTAATACTGATCTGAGTATTGATTCTGCCACTAGAAATTCTGTTTTTTTCCCCAACACTTTGATTTTGGCAGCTTATGAGAGTATATAATCAACTAACGCTGTTAGGTCACAGTTTTTGACTTAGAATAATATAATGGATAATAATATACTGTAGAATAGTGGTGATGGCTTTAGAGAATTCAAGCCTCATTCTTTCTCTTTTTTGTGAGATTTTTCTCAAGTACAGCAATACCTTCAATGAGTAAATACTGGAAGAAAGGAAAGTTTGCCAAACTAAATCTTACAGGGCTGCATTCATATCTTTATAGAAATTGAACATTGTTAGGAATATTCAGTCAAAAAGGATTGGATTCTGTACCTGGAAAGAAGGTGCATTCTCATACTTGTTTATATTCCCAGAAATTGTTGAGCAGCCTCAATAGCTTTTATGTATGTTATATCTACCAATATTTACCTTACAAGAAATTAAAACAGAAATGTCAAAAATATTCATTAATTAAAAATAGTAAACCATATTACTTTTTAACCTAAACATCATTTTCATGGAAAAAAAACTATTTTCAAAACCCAAAAAAAAAAAAACTAGTGAAAAGAATGGCATTGATTTACATTTCCACAAATTGTATAATGTCTGACTTAATAAAAGACAAGTGGATTTTCCTATGTGCTTCACGTGAAACATTCCATCAGCCTCAAAGTAGAGTCATCATACATCATGTAGCTTCTGTGTGTTTCGTACACACACGAGAGCAAGAGTGAAAAAGATGAATCAATGTCTTAGTATTACTATAAGAATAGAAAATAGGTTTGACTATTTGCAAGAATTTTGGGACTGCTACTCTTTGCAGGAAATCTTAACCCCTTTAATTCTGTTGTACTTAATCGTGAATAGAAGAAAGATTCAATCCCTTTTGTACCTGAGTCATGTAAAGCAAAATGTGATTGGTTGGTTCAGCAAAGTAGCAAATAGAGAAATATATCAGCTTAACATATATGACTGATGTCTCTGGGGGCATTGTTTATATCATCTTAAACCAAAGATACTTTTCAAGGCATAAAATTTAAAGACATGATAATGATGTCTTTTGGGCATACTGTGGTACTTTGAAAAGAATGTGAGGTTTTTGGTGAAGACCTGCATTTGGATCCCATCTTTATCGTTCAAAACCTGTAATTTTGGTCAAATGACATAGAGGATTCCTTTTTCTAGCCTGCAAAGTGGAAGTAAAGATAAGTAACAGCTCTCCTTCACAGGGTGGTTGTGAGAATCAAAGAAGGTAATGTACATGGGAACACTTGAACTAAATTGTTACACAAATGTTAGTTAGGTGGGCTCCTTTTCAGTATCTTTTTATTCATGGCTTACACATTTTTAAAAGTTCATATTTTCCCCTCTCCCTCTCTCCATTAGAATGAAGTCCAAACCGCCAAGGAGTTTATTAAAATCATAGAGCATGCAGAAAATGAGTATCAGGTAAGACGATTTGGAGTTAAGTTTGCTAGATCTAGTACCTTATTATTTTGCTGTTACCATGTTTTGTTTAGACTTTTGTTTGTTGTTTTGACATAAATATATGTGTTGTTCAGTGTTACTAAGTGTGGAGACTTTGCAGACCTTGCAACTTGGCATTCTTATATTCAAGATTTCAACAATGGAAGGGACTATAGCCCTAGCTGTAGAAACAATGTAGGTGTGCTTAACCTGCTTCCAAGGTTGGAGAGGAGCTCACTAGGAATATATGGTTCTATCTGTCCTTCTTAGAAGACACAAGCATGTCCTTTTGACTACAGAGTTACTTTCCTATTCACAACCATCCTCTTTCTGTTTAAGCAACTTATCATCAATTATCTATTGCAGACAGCTATTAGTGAAAACTATCAAACAATGTCAGACACCACATTCAAGGCCTTGCGCCGGCAGCTTCCAGTTACCCGCACCAAAATCGACTGGAACAAGATACTCAGCTACAAGATTGGCAAAGAAATGCAGAATGCTTAACGGCTGAATGTAGGCTTCTTCAGTACCCGGAAAGAAAGGATTCAACGTACAGTCATATGATAAATAAGTGATTTATAAACAAGAGTGATATTTTGCTAGGGCTTTCAAAATTAACAGTTTTCTAGCCTCATGGAATACTGTTGAACCTATAGCATTGTCTTGATTCTTTTGCGTTCTTTACCTTGTAATTTTGTGTTTTCATTATATCTACTTGTAAGTCTTTTCTTTTCCTGCCACATTTAATGATGGAGAGAGATCTATCCTAGAGTCATTTGACTGTTTAGAAAAATTTCCTATCCATGAAGCCCTGTTACAGACAGGTAATATATTCTGTACAATATTGACAGGTAATATGTTCTGTACTTTTCTGCCCCTATCCTTCAAAGCACTTCTGGTACTTCAGTGATTTTTACTGATCCACCAACAGCTAAAGAGGCAATGCTACAAACTATAGCTGAATGGAAGACACATTTATCCTTCTCCCTCTGACCACTTTAATTATCTTTTATAGCATCTTATTAACTAGTTTTCAAAAGTTTGGATTGGGGCTTTTCATGTCCTTTTTGGGTGACAAAGGGAGTTTTCTGTAAGTTCCATTATAGCCAGCTTCTTTGGGGAGGTTGTTTTTAAATCCAAAGACTTGAACCACATTACCTGCACATGAACGTGTTTACTTTTCTCCCTCTCTTCATTGTCTCCTTCCCATCTCATTATAGTTGTAGACATCTGCATTTTTAGAAGAGTTTTACCCATCTATTATTTTTTTTAATATTCAAGAACTGCTGATACACTAGGGATGTAATTGAGTGTAAGACTTGAAAAATGTAGATGTTGAAGGAATAATAGGTACCTTGTGCTTTAATACTTTGTGGCGAGTTATACTATAAAAGCAAATGAGTTAACTGTGTAAATCACAAAAACTAAAAATGAACCAAAGTGACAAGGATAACTTTCAGGCAGTATCTTTCTATTGTAACCTGTTATTTAACCTGTTACTATTGATTTGTTCCAAATAGGATGTAAAACTTCTTCCAGATTACTCTTCCTCCATCCTGCCTGCCAAAAACTCAAATGTAACTGTGATATAGCAACCCTTCCCAGGTATATTGGCAGGTATATGTGTGATCTCAGAATAGACAGGTGACATAGATACGATATGACAGCTGGTAATGATGGATTCATTTACATTGTTTACACTTCTATGACCAGGCCTTAAAGGAAGGTCAGTTTTTAAAAACCAAGTAGTGTCTTCCTACCTATATCCAAATATATGTCAAAAAAGAAGGGTGTTTGTGCTTCAGCTTTGTTTTTGTTCAGTAATACAGTCAAGCAAGAGTATGTTTCCAAGTGACCCATTCAGCTGTATAAGCATTTTTGTTTATTTCAAATAAAATATATTTGTATTATTTGTCATTCATACTATCCATCCATACCACACTGTCCTCTGTATCAGATAGTCCAATAGAAATATACCTGTTTTGTTCTTAATTGTCTGAGTCTCAACTTTTTGATGATCTCTTCAACCTTTGTACTCAAGGTAAGATGTGGAACTCTATTTGATCTTATTTGATGAGAATGTTCAGGGTTTCTGAAAATTGGTTCCTGCCTTAAACTATTATGGATTCAGGATATATCCAAAGACATTCAAAGAACAGACCCCTCCTCCTTTTTAAGTTTGTGCAGTGTCTCTGTGTATCATACTACTCTTCACTCAGACTGCAGGTGGTTCTTAAGTTTTGTTTCAGGTTTTCCATTTCTGTCCAAAGGAAAAATCTAGTTACCTTCACTGTCTATCACTCAGAAAGCAAGAAAGTATGGTTGTAGTCACTAGGCTGGCAAAAGAAGAATTCCCTATACCTTGAACTTGGGTAATACTTCACGGTGACTTAACTCTAAATGCTGCTTTCCTTTCATATAAGCCTGATTTAGCTATAGACATGTAGGAAAGGCTTTTATTTTGGTCCCAACGGAGAACCAGAGGAGTTTTAGTTCTTCATCTTCCATCTAAGGCCAGTTCAAAGTCCCACCTTTTTGAGAGATATTTTCTGTATTACATTCTGTACTTATAGTGCAAACAGATTCAAACATTCTTGCCTTTGCTTTTAATTCATTAATTCTATCAGCCTGTCTCCAGGCTATCCCGTACAGACCTTTGAGAAACTCTTAATCTCATGGCCCTCCCTCTAAAGCCCTTAGTTACTTGTCTAACTGGGAGGAAATGAACCCACCTTACCAAGTCTTGCAGACACTTGACTTCTTCAACCTCCTGCAGCAGAGTATTTGCTTGAATTGTGTCTATCATATCACACACTGCTGAAATAAGCCTGTGGTATCAAAGGGGGAAGGCTTCCCAGCCAGACGGAAAGGAGTTTTCTGTGAGTTCTCATTCCTATACTTGGGTTTGAAATTACACTGCTGAAGACTGTTTATTTCATTTGAGTCTGGGTGGTTTTACTTCCGTTAATTGCCTAGTTCCAGTGACTGTTCTCCATTTTATGATCTAGAACTTGGATGCTGGACTCTACTAGGTTCAGGAAATACTTGGCAAGATTTGGCACATTCTTTCCAAACTCAAAAAAGACTGATACATACCTGATGCCAACTTACGAATTTATAATTTTTTATAGAATTGCCAGCTTGCTTGGGAAATCAGAAAGAAAGGAAGATTGGTAAATACCGAAAACTGGACGGTCTCTTAAGATAAGTAGTTCTCCCTTGAACAGACAGGGTTTGTATAAAAAGATACTAGCTATTAGAGGGCAGAAACCAATCTCAAATCTCTTCAAATCTAATGTATCAAAGAGCATTCCCATAGTGTATAATATACTGTTGATTCTCATTCACTGTGGTTATGTGAAATTGTCAGGAAACTGAATTAACAAATACTGAAACATTATTCCTAGAGGAAATCCAGGGTTAAGTTCCTTTGAGCTTCTGATATTTGCCAATTTATCAATATATAATCCTGTTTTATATGTGTTCCTATTTAAATCACCTCAACATACATTGCTTATTTATCAACATTAAACTCAAAGCCAACAGCATTGTAACTCATTCTTGAACAAAGCTTATCTAACACGGGATTTCTCTCCAAAGCATACCACAGCTTTCTGCTTAGGAAAACTAGGTAGCAGTTCAAGCACTATATCATCTTGGGGTAATTAGAAGTGAAATTGCTAGTGAAAAGCATGAAAATTCAAAATATGTGACTGCAAAATAGATAACAAAAAGGCATTTGTTTATAATATGGGCTGCAACAAGAAGATTGCCTTCTTCCACATCCACTAGGAACATGCACATTGGGCAACTTAGAATTTTCTGCCCTGCACGTGTACATGAATGACTACAAAGGTACTGCAAGTAGTGATTTGGGGTTAGAAATAAGTTTTAATGGGTAGGTGAATTGGCAAATACCAAATCTAAATAATGATCAACTACCTGCTAACAGCCTCTGGTCTATTGTAGACTGGCCAATTTCAGCATTTCAATTTACGTTTCTAGTTGCCTTAAGAAGTATAGTCTAGTTGAAATAAAGTTAGAGAAACTTCTAATGCTGAATTGTAGGACCCATGTATTGGAGTAATTAGAATTACAGAGAAATCATTTATTAAATTCTAATTTAATTCCAATTACAATGAAAGAAAACAAAGCTTTTGAAGTTTTGCAAAGTAATTACCTTTAGAGACTCTGTAGGTTTATTCCAGTAACATCATTGGCCAAAGTTACTTTCAGATTGCCTTCAGTGCTATTTGGACCCATACTAAAATCAAACTTACTACTTCAAAGTAGGTTATTACAAGTGCAGATGGATTTGGGGATGGCTTCACCTGAGCTGGGTATGAAAGGTGCGAAGGAAGGCCATTCTAGATAAAGACATCTAGACAGCCATGCATGAAAATAACAATTACAACTCCATGTGAAGTGTATTTCTCCAGATGACACTGGTCTAGAGAGGTTCCATTGTAATTAAAGCCACTTAACATCACGTTTTTAACCAAGTTTTGACCATACTACAGCTATATTATATATGTTTTAAGAAAATCAGGGAGATTGGCCTAACCAGAAAGAGTGGGGAGGTTATGTATTAGCAATATTGGGGACAGATTGGCTGAGCGGAATAGAGCCAGAAATTCAGTTTGGAAATGGTAAGTAACAAAGCTTTTTTGAGAAGTGCACCCTCTTAACTACTCTCAGACCTCACTAGGTAATTAGGGGAGAAAAATGGTAAAATCTTTTTGGCTACTGTCCAGGTTTTTCCCTCTACCTTGCAAAATCAGTTTCTAAGACCTACATTCTGAGACATGCTTTCCCCTGCTGTTTTCCCTTAGTCCCCACTGATGTTGCATTTCCTGTTGCTAGAGCCTGTTGTTCCTTGGTCTAGTTGCTTTTGGGGCCAGGAAGAGCTCAGCTGGAGCATGGCCTGGGTTCTAGAATTCCTCAGACCAAGATGAGTGTGTGGCCTCTTACAGGGAATTACTTTGGAGAACAGCACTTACCTTTGGTGTATTTGGAACTCTGGTATATTTGTTAAAATGTTTATATAACTTAAAAATCTGCCCCATTCTAGCGTTGTGTGTTTGTTACTCCAGAGGATAAGTAGATGAGGCTTGTTGGGGGCACTCCCCCGCCCCCCACACCTTTATTTTAATAGCCTGCCTTCGGAAGCACCGGCCTTTCACTTCTCCAGGTACTGATGCTGGAGCTGTTAACCATTTATTGCCTAACATAACAGTCTGTTGCTCTTCAGAACCGAATATTTTGATGACTGGGCCAGCCCTTACTTATATATTAGCATTAATTAAAGACCAATGCAGACTGGAGTGTAATTACGTGCCCAAATGCGTGGCTCAAGGGTAGGGATCACCAGCCTTTCCATTTCCCATTAACGAAGCCTATGTGGCAGAGAAAAGTAATGACGTCGTCCTGACGGAGTCCCTTGTCCTTCCCACACGTACACACCTTTTATCTCAGAGGCACTTAGTTCTTCCCCCAAACTTCTTTGGCTCTTCTGCCTCCTTCCCTGCGTCCAGAAAGCCGGAGTAGGGGAGCGGGGGAAGGGGCGCGTGCCGCTCACTGCCGTACTTGTTCCTGTCCCTGGCAGTCTGGGGGAGGTCCTGGGTGAACTGCCCCAGCCCAGCTGCAGCCGACCCGGGTCCCAGCCGCTGCCCTTTGCTCTCCTTTTCAAGTCTGGAGGCTCTGGGAGTGGGCGTGGGAGTAGCCCTAGCTGCGGCTTAGAAGTGCTCCGGGACAGTTCAGAGGGCCCCCAGCGGTAGCCACCTTCTGACTAGAAGCCAGGGGAGGGAGCTTGGGGTAAGGGGAGGGCCCTGAGGGAGGGGTCAGACTCCTTAGTAAAGAGTTAATGGACAGAGGGGGAGGGGATCGGACGGAGAAACCGAAGGGAAGGCTCAGGTAGGGAAAGAACGGAGGAGGGAAGACTGGTGGGGAGTAGACAGCCTGCGGGATCAGGAGGTCAGAGTTAGGGGGCATTCCCCCTGCTGCACGCTCATCCTAGGGCCGCCAACTTCCAGCCGCGGCAGCGACTTTCAGTTTCATTTCCACGGACCCTCTTGCCTGGGCCGCAGCCGCCGCCGCGATGCCCAGTAAGTTCAGCTGCCGGCAGCTCCGGGAGACGGGCCAGAGCTTCGAGAGTTTCCTGGTCGTTCGGGGACTGGATATGGAGACAGATCGCGAGCGGCTTCGGACTATTTATAACCGGGACTTCAAGATCAGGTACGCGCCGGCCCACTCCCCGGCCCAGAATCGCGCGCCCAGCTTGCCGCCACGATCCCCGCGGCGGGGCCAACCTTCCCGCGTCGGGGCTGAGAGAGACGCAGCTCCCCGAGTGGCTCAGGCCCGTCTCGGGGCGGTGCCGACCTCCCCTCCCGCAATATGCCCACGCCCCACCAGCGCCGCCCGCTCTGCCCTGGCCGGGCCGGGCCCCTGCGCCAAGTCCCCGCGGAGAGCCTCCCGCTCAGCCCGCCCCCACGGCGCCGCGGGCCCGGGTCGCGGGCGTGGGGGAGGGGATCCTCGGGAGCGGGCCCAGGCTTCGCGGGCGCGCGGGGAGCGAGCTGCCTGCTGGTGGCGGCAAGCCCTGCCGCGGGCTTTACGGGGACCCCCGCCCCCTTGTTGAGGGGCTGCTGCTTCCTCCGAGGCCCACTCTCCCAGAGAGCTGAAGGGACAGTGTAGGAGGGAGAATCTCGGTGGGGAAGGAAGGAAAGGGCACCGTCTACGTACGTACCAAACCTCCATGAGCACCTGTGGCTTCTCCATGGAGCTGGGGGCCAGGGCCAGGCTCCTGGAGGCTCCACACCCTGCGCTGCAGGCTGTTTGGTCCCCCTTTCCTGTTACCATCCACCTGAAAAATTAAAGTTTTCTCTTCGTCAAACCACAGAATTGTGCTTCAGAATCACCTGTATCAACAGGCTGCAGCGTTGGGCCAAAAACCAAGAAACAATTTAACAGGAATAAATGTAAAGACTTAGACAAAT